GTAAAATTTTACAAGGAAAATTATGTGAAATTCTTGAATGTGTGTTTGGTTGAAGATAAAATATTGATGGGTAAATTTAGTGAAATTACAAAATAACTCTCCGACTAAATAACTCTTTTATTTTACAAACTTATTGACCCAACCCAACGGCAAAAAAGATAGAGGTTATCCAAGCTGCCAAATTCACTTACCAAAATTTTTGTTTATTAATAATTCGTTTTAGCCAGTTTAACAAATCAAAGTGCGCTTCTTTACTGAAAGAAAGAAAAAGGGAAACGAAGATAAGAAAACTTGCGAATGTGTGGTTAAGAAGGAGGGGTATATTTGTCACCCCATTTTCCACCTTTTTCACATATCCGATTTTCTAAACCAATACCACCTGTTGAAACGGCTTCTTCAACAGTGCTCAAATCCAATTTTTACACCTCTTCTTGCATTGAAGGGCAAGTGAGTTTGATGGGCATATTTTCCCAAAATCCCCAACCAAACGTGGTTTACTCAAATTCCACGTGTACTTAGCCAGCAAAATTTTAACTTCTCCCCAACCAAACACTACCTTAGTATATAAAAGTGTGTTGTAAGTATAATCTCATAAATTAAAATAAAATACTTTTATTAAATCTTAAAGTTAATAGTGCTATCGTTTAAAAGTTCTTTAAAAACTGTCCACACACATTGAACGTAACAAGGCATCTTTCTTACTAAGTTGAAAAATTAAAACAAAACACAACAAAAAAATATATTTATATTAGCGAAAACATTATGTCATTTCAAAGAATGTAAAGTTATGTCATTTTAAGTGAGAGAAATAGATAGATTATAAAAGAGAGTGGACAAAAAAAAGTGTGGGTCTCATCTTTTTGTGAAAGTAAAATGACATAAATTATATCATTTTAAAAGAACAAATATTTTTCCTTTTATATTAACGTGTAATAAACTACTCATTTCAGTTCTTCACATTATTAGTGATACAAAAAAGGTAATATTTTTTTATATTACATAAAAGAAGTATTATCTTCTACACTCACATTTTTTAAATGGGTCCTATAAGAATTTTTTTCTCTCACCTCCAATTTTTTGCTCTCTCATATTTATTGTTTGAGTATGAAATAATACTTCTCTCATACAACATAAAAAAAGTATTACCCATATAAAAATAGTGTCATTATTAGATAATTAGGGTTAGTATAAAAAAAATTAGTGACATAATTAAGTGTTAATAACTGATTGATATAGGTATCGATATCGTTTTAAGAATAGAAGTTATCAAAAGAGTTGGAATTGTATTTCTCTATAATTTTGATCCTGTCTCGTCCGATTTTACCTTATTATTATTAGTAACGGCTCATTTAAAAGTGGTTGGAATTGTATTTCTCTATAATAACGGACTTGAGAGTCTTTTTTTTTTTTTAATGTTTTTATACTTTTCTTTTTAATAATTCACTCATATATGTTAAATATGAGTCATTTTTATCCACGCGCACCTTCTTCTTTTTTTTTTTGCAAAGACTGATCTCTCCTTCTTATTTGTCTATTTTTTTTCCTGTGATTTATATGAGTTCCTTTTGAATCACGTTGTTTTCATAATCTTGCAAATAGGAGACATATTCAAGCTTATTTCAGGAGAGGAAAAATACAATATTTAAGCTGTAAACTTGTAATATTATTTGAGATGATCTCCGTTGAAAAAACAATATTTAGTTTGATCATATTTTTTTTTTGGTAAGCAGTTTGATCATTTTTAAGTGAAGTACAAAGTCTCTTTCTAAAAAATTTAGTTCCGAAATCATGTTATATTTTTTTTCTTTTCTTTTGTCATATATGATGCTATTTTGCTTAATTTTCATGTATAATTAGAGTTTCATTAATGGGGTAATTTTTATTTATCGAAAAAGACGAAGATCTTTTAATAATCTAAGAATTTACATTATTAATTTCCTACCAAATTAATAGACAATAACATTCAAGTTATTTTGCATTTTTAATGTTTTATTCATATAATTATAAATACTTAATATGATAGGTTATTTTACCTACTCCTGTTTTGACTACATTTGCCTACCCTACTGTTCGATTACAATCTCATCCCACGATTAATATTTATGATATAAAATCAATATTTTTTTTCTTTTTTTTTCTTTTAACTTCCTCACACAGACTTTCTCTCTCCTCTCCTTTCTTTCTTCCTCTGCGATCCGGCCACATCCTTCTAATCTCTCTACACCTATTAATTTTATTTTTTTGAACTACAAACGAACACGGTTCATAGTGAATACCTATACCTCTCTTATCGAACTCTTTGTTGTTGTCCTGTGTAATATATGTTGGAAATCGACAATAACACAGAATCGAGAAAACAGAAAAAGAGATAAGAGTAGAGAGATTGACACGATGATTTACCCTGGTTCACCCAATATAGGCTACGTCCAGCTTGTCTGTACTATATTCACCTCACCGCCACTCGTTACAAGTCTCTCGGTTTACAAGGCAAATATAAATAGGATTACAAGAAACCCTAACAGCAGCTATTCATGGCCCAAGCCCAAACTGCTAAGAAAATTACAATAGAAACAGAGGCCTAAACATTACCTAGCCTCTACGGGCCTGGGGGCGCTGCCCCCCGGACCCCCGCCCGCTCACCTGGGAGCGGGACCCCAATTGCCTTTCTGCTGACCTCGACAATTAGGGCCAACATCATCATGTGAAGTATGAGCCATACCCAACAATATATATGCCAAAGCCGGCAGGTTTGATGCTACCAAAAGAATTAGGAATTTGATGGGAGAAAGAAGAATAAAAAAGAAAATCTCAGGATGTAGCATGATTGAAATCAATTGGGTAGTTAAAGAATTTAACGATTTCTCAAAGATCATCTGAACTTCCCATGAAAGAGCTAGTATTGGTTTTAAATAGATTAAATAACGAGATGAGGATTTTGAGGTTTTCGAGGAAGACCAGTTTCAAAATTGATGATTGTCGTGTTTTTGGTTTCGGAGGAAGAGATTTTAGTTATTCTTTCTTGGTCGCCATCGAGGAAGAAAGAAAGGGGAAGAGAGAGAAAGAGTGTGTGAGGAAGTGAAAAGAAAGAAAAGAGAAAAAAAGTTGATTTTATATCATAAATATTGATCGTCGGATGAGATTGTAATCGAACGATAATGAAAGGGGTAAATAAAGATAAGTAAAATGAGAGTAGGTAGAATAACCTATCACATACTTAATAGTTAAGTTATACTAAATGAAAAGAAAAGAAGATACTTAAAACATTTTAAGAATAAAAAAATTAAGAGACAGAGGAGTCCGAAGGAGTTTTGTACTAGATAAAGAACATTTTTCAATCACTTAGTAGAGTAATTATTTCATCAATAAATATAATATAAACGATTTATAATGATAAAATATTCAAATAAACGCGAAAAAAGCAGTCAAAAGAGACAATCTTCTTCATTGAATAGTATAGATATGAAGTTAGCTTATACATGCAAATTAATAAATTTGTATATAATTTGATTTATTATCTTAAATTTTAAGAGGTTAACTTTGGAACTTTATTCTGAAAATTAAGTATTATATTACCTCTTTTTAGTATAATTTTTTTATCAAATATTAATTATCAAATCATAAGTTTATAAAAGTATAACTTTTTATTACTTATTGCATAATTTTAACCTAAAATTAAACATTGAGAATTATATGGGAACAGTGACCATTGTGCCACTGTTCACCAACTTTTTTACTTAAATGTCACGCGAACAGTGTTATTTTTTAATTTGCCACGGGGCAAGTTCGCTTCTGACACAAGCGATCTCGGTTTGCTGATGTGTCAACTTTCTGGTGGTGTCAGAGTTCGCTTCTGACACAGGCGACCTCGGTTCCAATAATATTTTAACCCAGTTCGCCTCCATGGTAGGCGAACTTCATTTTTTTTGAATTTTTTTTTAAATTTAATACTTGTTATCCACTAAAAATGTGACACGTCAGCAAATCGAGGTCGCTTGTGTCAGAAGCGAACTTGTCCCGTAGCATATTAGGAAATAACATTGTTCCGGTGACATTTAAGTAAAAAAGTTGATGAACAATGATATTTTGATCAGTATCCCAATTATATGTGCAAAACAACGACGCCTGAACTTTTTCAAAAGTAGAATGCTATAATCGCAAGGAACCGAAGACCTTTTTTGTGTCTTGAGCTACTAGGAGTGGAGAATTTTCCATCGGTCGCAGTCAACACGTCTCCATCTGTTTGTTCCATAGTTTTCGATTTAATTCTATACTAATCATTTTTTTATATTAATTTTTTAATACATTTATACCGGTAGTTTTGATGAATTTATTCAGAATAATGTTGACGTATAGCTTTAAGGTATATGTTAAAGAATAAAACATAATAATAATTAAATTAATAAAAATATTTACATTATTTTTAGAAAATAATCGACAAAAAATAAATATTAGTTTTAATCATTAACATGCGTTATAAAACCTTTTTTTTTTTATAACAATAAAACCCATTTTTTAATACGAGAACAATGTGTATTATTTTTTATTTTTTTGATAACAACAATGTGTATCATTTTAGAGGATGTAAAGTTGTGTCATTTTAAGTGAGAGAAAGAGATAGATAAAGGAGAAAAGAGAGTTGACAAAAAATATAAAAATATGAGTTATGAGAATAAAAATATATAAGTTGTATTATTTAAAAGAACAAATGCTTTTCTAATATAGAATGCATATTTATAAAATGTGAGGCCAAGGTTAGACGTAGGTATGAGGACGAAATTAACCCTCCACCCAACCCACTTTGAAAAGTTGGGACTTGGGAGTGAGGAGTGCTTAGGTCCGAAGCAACCAACTCAAGTACTTTGCTTTATGATGTGCCGCTGAGATATAGTGATCATCATTGATGTCACGTCCAACCCGTAAATCAAACGACAACTCAGTAATTTCACAACAAAAGGGTATTCCCGTAATTCCGTGTGGGAAACTTTGCAGTTAAAATGAAGGCATTGCAGAGGGCAGGGCAGAAAGTACCTTATCGAAAGAAAAGAGATCAAGGATTGGGTTAGAGTGAGAGGTGTGGCGAACATGGCTGAGAAAAGCAAGATCTTGATCATAGGAGGCACCGGCTACATCGGTAAATACATAGTGGAAGCAAGCGCAAAGGCTGGACATCCCACTTTTGCTTTGGTAAGGGAATCCACCATCTCAGATCCTGCCAAGGCTAAACTCATCGACAATTTCAAGACTTTGGGCGTTAATTTGGTCCCCGTAAGATATCATAATCATATATATATAATATAATTCTCCTTTTACTTCATTCTATTTCTATATGTATATATATAGATATAGGTCCGTGCATAGGAGAGTATATTAATTAGGAGTTTGAAATTAATGGCAATGGCAGGGGGATCTCTACGATCATGAGAGCTTGGTGAAAGTCATCAAGCAGGTAGACGTTGTCATATCCACCGTGGGTCACTTCCAACTTGCAGATCAGGTCAAGATCATCGCTGCCATTAAGGAGTCTGGTAATGTTAAGGTTGTCCCATTCACTCTCTGCAACTCTAAACGCCAACCTTTCTTTGTTTAAAATTAGCGTTTGTCTCGTTTCTTTTTCTTTTTCTTCACTCGTTCAATTAAAGAAAGAAAAAAACAACCTAAACGGAGGGAGAAGATTAAAAACCTGATTGTGGAACAAATGTGGACCACTTGGACTTTGTGTGCGACTTTACTTTGAAGAAAATTTCCATTTGAGTTTGTTCTATTCTACATCATTACAGTTTACAATCATTGCCTTTTTTTTAGAAAAAAAAAAAAAAAATTAATCAGCTCGATTTGCGATTAATTTGATTCAGACGGATTTTGAAACTAAAATTTTAAATTTCTTTAAAAGATAATAGTAAAGAGAATTGAATACATGATCTTATTCCTAACTATTATTATCATTTTAATTTGTTAGAACTGGGACAATTTTTTGGGTTACAGCTATCAATTTTTTACACGTGGTATTGTCGTTGAGATATTTTATTGGGAATAGATCCTTTTATTTGTGATTTACGAAGATCTGAAATGTCCATAGACAAATTAATATTTATCATGTTGGTTAGGGTATAATATAAATTATTAAAGAACTTTTTGTCTAAAAGTTTAAATTTTTGGTTGAATTGTTGATTTAGAAGGGTATTAGAATCTCATGTCCAGAGTTTAACTTTTGTTGCTTCCTATTTTTTTTTTTAAATTTTTTAATGTAATTAGACTGAACTTGATGCATCATTTTCAATAGACTTTCTTGCAAAAGGATGTGTTAGAGTATAATATAAATTGTTAAAAAAATTATCACCTATTAACTTAAATTTTTGGGTTGATTTGGTTCTTTATAATATTAAATTATGTATGAAATGATTTATTCTTTATTTTATTTTTTATAAAATGTGAATTACTTCCATACTCATTTTTAATTAATACTCTTATTAGTTATCACATATTTGTTAATTTCCAGTTACGTTTTATAAACTTTAAAATTTTATTGTGTGAACTAACAATCAATACTTAGTAATGAATTGATAGAAAATATCATTACCCGAGAGGAAAAAAACCGAGAACGATAGCAAGTCAGCAACTCCCATTAAAATTTTAAAAAGGGTTAATTTGAACTCACTCATTCAAGCAAATCTTTGAGAGTTCAGTTGTCAATTAAGTTAGTTAAGATGTTTGTACTTTTAAAAGACATAAATTATGTCATTTTAGGAGAAAAATGGACACAAAGAATGAAAATCATAGGAGAGAAAATGAATAGTTTTTTTTTTTAATTTAAATTTTAAATAAAAAAATATTATCTTAAACTGACATAATTTTATACCAAATGATAAACGGTTTTCTCTTATATTAATAACGTAGTTTGCTCATGTAGTTATTTTTTTTTTTTACTTTTCTTAAGATATTTAACTTTTTTTTTTTTTTTTTTTTTTTCTGTGAGCCTGTTATTGTCTTTTTCCGGAAGTATGAACTATGAAATTTTGGGCCAATCTTTAAATTTCATTGTTTATATTTACGCTTAACTCTTTCAAACCTTTTCTATAAATAGAAATCCTATTATATCAAACTCGTGTTGGTAATCAGTCTAAAGTAGGAATAATATGTTAATATCCCTAGAGATTTTTCCCTTCGGAATTCGGGAACGACGTGGATCGTGTCCATGCAGTGGAGCCAGCTAAATCTGCATTTGCTGTCAAAGTCCAAATTCGGCGTAGCATTGAAGCCGAAGGCATACCCTACACATACGTGTCCAGCAACTGCTTTGCTGGCTATTTTCTTCCCACATTGGCTCAACCAGGAGCCACAGCTCCACCTCCACCCAAAGACAAAGTCATTATCTTAGGCGATGGAAATCCCAAAGGTAACATTACCTACCTACATATTTACCCCGCTTTTATATATTCCTGTGCCTCGCTGTAATTTTTGCACTTTTCTCTTGAATACGTACGTTCAGCAATCTTCAACAAGGAGGAGGACATTGGAACCTACACCATTAGAGCTGTGGATGACCCAAGGACATTGAACAAGGTTCTCTACCTCAGGCCCCCTAAGAACATTTACTCATTCAACGAGCTTGTCGCCTTGTGGGAGAAGAAGATTGGCAAGACCCTCGAAAAAATTTATGTTCCAGAGGAGAAGCTTCTTAAGGACATTGAAGGTCTTTATTTATAAATATCCTTAGTTCCTATCAATATAAATTAATTACACTAGTGTTATTTTCTACATTTCAAATTTTGAACCTTATTACAATTCAATAATCGGTGGTATTCAGGTAGTGCATTATATATATAGCTGAATTGAATGTATGATATTCCGTGTTTCTTGCAGAGGCTCCTGTTCCAATCAATGTGGTATTGGCAATCAACCACTCGGTGTTCGTGAAGGGTGATCACACCAACTTTGAGATTGAGCCTTCTTTTGGGGTTGAGGCTTCCGAGTTGTACCCGGACGTCAAGTACACCACCGTTGAAGAATACCTTGACCAGTTCGTTTGAGAATTAAAAAAGAAGGATGCACGTCATGCTCTTGTGATCGGATAATTAAATAATATTGAGTTGTTTTTTTGGAGTTTGACGGGGGAACTGTTCCGCCTCTACTTACTTGTTGCTTCTTAATTAGTTCTTATTTGCTATGTTAACCTGTCAATGTTTTAGCATCCCAAATATATAAAATATATATATATATATATATATATATATATATATGATTGTGTTTTATGTCAAAAGCTCGTCTACTGTTGTCTATGTAGCACTGATACGACATGTGACACGACACGACATTCCGACACGTCAATCTTAAAAAATTATGGATTTCGACACGTTGGGACACGTTTTAATATTAAATAATATTTTTAATTTATATAGTGTATATTTCATTTAATATTTAATAATTTAACAAAAAAATGAAACTAAATTAATAATACCCATCAACACGTTATAAAGATGGAAGCTTTAATAAAAAAAATAAGAACTGAGATAAGAGAGAGATATAATATCAGATAGAGAGATCAAATCATATTAGAGAGAGATCAGAGAGAAGGAGATACAACAAGAGCGTGATAGGAATTGATAACAATAATGCTGAGATGATCTCTTATCTACTTAAGGGGAAAAAAGACAAAAAAATAAAATTGATATGATCAGGTGGAAGCTTTATTAATATATTTTAATTTTAAAAAAAATAAAATAAAAATTACGAAAATGCCATTTGACCGTGTCGGACACGGTCAAATTCGCGTGTCGGAATGGTCAACGTGTCGAAAAAAGTTGACCGCGTGTCCGACACCGTGTCGGAGCGTGTCGCCGTGTCGGACACGACTCTCCCTGTTTTTACACGTGTCCGTGCTTCCTTGACTGTTGTCGTGTTTTTCATGGGCTAGCCCAACCCATACCGCATGATTTACTTTCTTTTTGTTGGAAAGAATATCTTTACTCATCTCTTGTTATTTTACATTACTTCTGTTCAAAGACTCGGAGAGGGGGAAGATCGTATAGAAGTTCGTTACTAAATTTTTTTTGGACAAATGAGTTCAAGGACTAGTTGAAATTAATCGCTACCTACCAAAATGAGATGACGCGCTTCCTGACTTCCATACAAGAAAATAGGGAGACTTTGTTTATGGCCTGTCGTATTTACGATTTGCATTTTCAATTCACAAGACTGCAATCTTAGATCAATGGTCAGTGAGAGTTGTTGAGAAATATAGTCTCACATGGGTTGTATGGGCAACTAATGTGAGGTTTATATGGCCTTGGGCACTCCCACCTTTTGAGCTAGCTTTTGGTAGCTTTTGGGGTGGTGTATACCAAGGTTCTTAACATGGTATCAGAGCGGGATACACACCCCAAAAGCTAGCTCAAAGGGTGGAAGTGCCCAAGGCCTTATAAAGGCTATATTAGTTGTCCATCCAATCAATGTGGGACATTATCACATAATGAAGCTGACGTGGACTTTGTTAGTTATTAGTTTCTCTTTCTGTTATAACTAATGTCAGTTAATTGATAAGTTAGTTATTAGTTAACTGTTAAGTTAGTTTATTTCATTTTCTTTCCTCTTGCTTTTCTCTTTTTGTAATTAGTTGATATATATCATCTACCTTCAATGTATTAGTTAGTTTTTCAATCAAAGAATGAAAGCTTCAATTCTTTCCGCTGTTGTTATGGTATCAGAGCTCTGACGAAGAGCTCTGGTATTCATCTGAACTTTTTCTTTCTTTTCTTTCTGTTCTTGTTTGTCTCTGTTCGTCCTTTTTCTTTCCTTAGTCGATTTGTCTTTGCTTTACAAAATGGCAAATGCTCTTCCAGATCACTTGACAAATCCAGGAAATCCATATTTTCTCCATTCTGGTGAAAATTCTGGATTGATTCTTGTTTCAAATCTTTTCGATGGAAAGAACTATTACTCATGGTCCCGTGCTATGAAGATGGCACTTCGCTCAAAGAATAAATTGTGTTTCGTTGATGGTACGATACCGATTTCCAATCCCAGATATGCAATGTATGATCCATAGCAGAGATGTAACATGATGGTTCTATCATGGATCCATCGATCAATAAATACAAATATTCTGCAGTCAGTTCTATGGACAGAAAATGCAATAGATGCATGGAATGATCTTTATCAAAGATTTTCACAAGCAGATGCATTCAGAATTTTGGATCTCCTAGAAGAAATTTATCACATTCATCAAGGTGAACAGTCTGTATCTGATTTTTCTACTCAAATCAAGGCTCTTCGGGATGAATTTGAAAATTTACAGCCTCTTCCAACATGTGTTTGTACTGTGCCATGTGGATGTGGTTTGTCCAATCGAGTAAAAGAAAGAAGAAAAAAAGATTGGGCCATTAGATTTCTCAGAGGACTTAATGAACAGTTCTCAAATGTAAGATATCAGATTATGCTAATGAAGCCTCTTCCATCTGTAAATGAAATCTTTTCTATGGTGAGTCAACAAGAAAGACAACTTAGCAATGAATCACAACCCGAACTGAATGAGAGTCACAAAATTCTTACAAATGCTGCAATACAGCAAAATTTTGTGCCTCGTGGTGGACTCAATAATTCTTTTCGTGGTTGTGGACGTGGATTCAACATTGGTAGAGGCCGTGGAAACAAATTGTGTACATACTGTGGAAGAACTAATCATACCGTGGAAACCTGCTTTGAAAAGCACGGTTATCCACCAGGTTTCAATCAGCGAAGTCAGATGAAAGCTGCTTATTTGGTGATGCATGAGTCAATGGATAATGAAGCTGACAAAGAAACAAAAAATGGGGCTAATGTGTTTTCTCAGATGCAATATGACAGAATCTTGAATATGATTCAATCCTCGATGAATTTTTCAAATGACACACATGCATCTAATGCACATTCATCCAATCTTGTTCTTGTGAATCCATCACCTACAGCCTCAAATGTAAACATTAACCATACTGCTATTCCTCTTTCTGCCATGCCCAATCCTGCGAATTTTAATATGTCTCTATCAGGTAATATCAATGTTAGATGGGTTATAGATACCGGAGCAACGGATCATATAACTCATCTTTCTTCACTTTTCAATACCTTAATTCCAATTAAGCCTATCCCTATAACACTTCCTAATGATTCCAAAGTTTTTGCTAAGTCAAGTGGTACCATTTACCTAACAAAAAACCTTACTCTTCATAATGTACTGTTTGTTCCCGAATTCCATGTAAACCTGATATTTGCTAGCAAATTATCACATACAATACCTTGTTCTTTAACTTTCACTGACTCAAAATGTTTTATTGTTCAGATGAATACTAGGAAGATGATTGGTATAGCTAAAGAAGAAGATGGATTATTCATCATTGAGATTCCCAACCATACAAAGAAAGCTGTCTATAACTCCTGTTCTCAAAATAAAGATTCTGTCCTATGGCATCTTCGCCTAGGACACATTTCTGAATCTACTTTGAAATCCATGTCATGTAAATTCCCTTTTATTCCAAATAAATTTGTAACTCCTTGTGAAGTTTGTCATTATGCTAAACAAAAGAAGCTACCATATGTTTCCAGTATTACAAAATATGTACATGTCTTTGAAATGATTCATGTTGATATATGGGGACCTTATAAAATCCCCAGCATCCAAGGTTTTCGTTATTTCCTAACTATAGTCGATGACTATTCTAGATTTACTTGGATTATCTTCATGCGAAATAAAAGTGAAACTCGTGGTCACTTACAAAGCTTTATCAATTTAATTCAAAATCAGTTTAATATCAGTGTTCAAACAATAAGAAGTGACAATGGTATTGAATTTGATATGTCCACATACTATCAACACAATGGTATTATACATCAAACATCATGTGTTGAAACTCCAGAACAGAATGGAGTAGTTGAACGTAAGCATCAACACATCCTCAATGTTGCAAGAGCACTTCTCTTTCAAGCAAACTTACCTCTTCAACTATGGTCATATTGTATTTCTCATGCTGTTCATATAATCAATCGAACTACTACCCCTCTTTTAAATCATAAAACACCATATGAAGTTCTATATAATTCTTCTCCTGTCTTGATTCATCTTAAAGTTCTTGGTTGTTTATGCTTTGCTAGTTCTTTGTTAAGTCACAGAAATAAGTTCTCGCCTCGTGCTCATAAATGTGTCTTCCTTGGATTCAAAGATGGAACAAAAGGGTATGTGGTCCTAGATCTTTCCTCTCACAAAATATTTGTCTCTCGAAATGTTATATTCCATGAAATGATTTTTCCTTTTCTGTCTTCAAAAGATCATTCAAACCATAATTCTGTTTTTCCACTTTATTCTGATATCAATGATCCATTCATTACTTCATTGAATAATTCCAATCCCAATGTCATACCAAATCATGATCCTGTTCAAACTCCAACTGAAACTCAAAATGTCATTGAACCTCAAACTTTCATTGAAAGATCTGTAAGACAAAGACGTCCACCTTCATATCTCAATGATTTTTACTGCAATTTATCTTCTTCTACAACAATACAATCAGCTCCCACAAGTATTTCTTCTAACATTAAAACTCCATACCCCATATCCTCTGTTGTCAATTTCAATAAATGTTCACCTGCTTATACCAAATACTGCCTTAACATTAGTATCCATTCTGAACCAAAAACTTACAATGAGGCTGTCAAACATGAATGTTGGCGTCAAGCCATGGATGCTGAGATATTAGCTCTTGAGCAAAATAAAACGTGAAGTCTGATTGATCTTCCTAAAGGGAAACAACCCATCGGATGCAAATGGGTATACAAAATTAAATACAAATCAGATGGAAGCATAGAACGTTATAAAGCCAGGCTTGTGGCTAAAGGGTACACTCAACTTGAGGGTGTCGATTTCTTTGATACATACTCACCAGTTGCTAAGCTGTCTACTATCTGTATTTTACTAGCTATTGCTGCAGCTCGTGGATGGTACTTGGAGCAATTAGATGTAAACAACGCCTTCTTACATGGGGATTTGAATGAAAAAGTCCTCATGGTATTACCACCTGCCATATCTGTTTCAAAGCCAAATCAAGTTTGTAAACTTGAAAAATCCCTCTATGGATTTAAACAGGCGAGTAGACAGTGGTTTTCCAAATTATCCACTTCTCTGGCTGATCTTGGCTATGCTTCATCATCCGCTGATCATACACTATTTGTCAGGAATTCAGATTAATCAT